TGGGGGGTACGGGGGAATGATTGCATGGAGAGGATTGTAACCATGGCAATGAGACGATATAGAATGAATGTAAAACTAATGTTCTCCCACGTAAACTGTCACATAATTCACAATAAAACATTTAAGAAAAAAAAAAAAACCTACATCAGATACAACTGGATATACAGGCAGACAGGCAGGCAAGATGAACAGATGATGAGGCAAAAGGGACTACACTCACAATCATAGATAAGCTTGACAGACAACATTTTTACATAATATGTTATAAATATGTCCATGCTTAAAATAGACCAAACAAGAGCAAAGGTATGTAAACTTATTAGCCATAACCAAATTCCTTGAGGGAATAAGTCTGGAGACTTAAAGACTATAGTCATAGGTGACAGTGATGTCAATTGCCCTAACAGACCACAAAGACGTTCTATATCATACACTGATGAATAAGTAAGTGTACTTCTTTGTCTCAAAAGTTTAAATGCTTACAAGTGGCCATTTAATGTCAAATTTCAAATGTCTTTTTATAAAATGTAAAATCCTACTGACTCCTCCATCTCTCTGCAGCTCCCTCCATGCCAGTCCCTTGGGAAAGACACTCTAGATGTCTCCGGCTGACAGAAGTAAACTTCCAGAGGCACAAAAAAAAAACCACTCTGCAGATGAGCCTCGGGTCAGTCATCCAGGAGGGGAGCAGGACGGACTGAGGGTGGAGGGGCAGAGGCAAGGGCTTACAGCAACAGCCACATAGGCCATCTTCTCCTGAATGGGCACACTGTGGCATTTCTGTAGCTTCCTCAGGAGTCTCCACAGAATCCAGGTTGTGCTGGGCATCTCTACCTCCAGTGTTCTCCACAACTCAGCCAGATGCCTAGAAATCCCAAAGAATAAGAGGTTTATTCCAGGCCAACATGATCACAGTCTTCCTAGTATCTATTTAGAATCTATTCCATAAGAGGTTTCTCTTTCTGCTCCTTTCTTCATCTTAAGCATAAACTTCAAGGTCATTCACAAACTGACCTAGTTTGTCGTTTCAACCCCAACACTTCCTATCATATACTCTGCGCACTAGCCACCACAGACTGAAAATGCACCTCTATCAAACAATCTGTGGACTTTGAAATCCTTAGGCCTTTCTTATGTCATTTCCTTAGAGATCCTACCCAAAGTTCTTTTCTGCCCTTCAAAATCATTCTGGTCCAGCTCCAATGTCATCTCTTCTGTGAAGTCTTGGCTGCTTCTTCACTATGTCTTTAATGAGAATTCCCTAACACTTTATAAATGTCTTCTTTATAATAGAGTTGCCTCAACCTTGCAGTGCTATTGTCAGTTCTTTGCATGTCTGGCTATCTGGGCCCTCTGAAGGTAGCCTAGTACAATGCCAGGCTCACAGAAGGCATTCAAAGGGATAATTTATTCAATCTAGTCTACAGTCCTCAAATTTTGACTAAGGTCAGGCCCTGAAATAAAGCTTTGATTCTCTTTAGAAGCCATTTCTTCCTAAAGAAAAATCATTTACAAAATAATATGATTAACTTATCTATCATTCAAATGTAGGGCCAGAGAATTACTCAAAGGCAGGGCCAGAGAATTACTTAAAAACTGTAGAGGAACATTATGGAAGCATTGGAGGGGCAAAGGAGTGTGTGTGTGTGTGTGTGTGTGTGTGTGTGTGTGTTGGGGTAGGATGGGGGAATGACACTTGCTTGTGATCTATTCTCTTATTTTCAGAATCTACCTAGCAATTTTGTATGCTAACTCAGTGTTTTATAAAGTGTGACCTCCTAACAATCTACAGCAGAATCGCTTTAAAAATGGAGCGGCTTCCAGATGATGCCAACATGTTACTTTCTAGCCCAGTAATTGTAATATGAGACTAAAACATAGCAAGGAGGTCAGGTCTTAAGAACTCCTAAAAGGAACTAGCTCCTTAACTAAAGTTCTTCATGTATTCCCTTCCTCCCATAAGATAAAAGTCCACTGTCTTAGTTTTCATTAAGTTGACCCTGTATCTCTGCTATCTAATTTCTGAGCTCTGGTGTGGCACTGTAGGCTAAGCACTGGACTGCTAACCACAAGATCAGCACTTGAAACCCACCAACCACTCTTGCAAATTGGTGGCACACAACAACAACAAATATCTAAATGTATCTAAGCTTCCTGAGTAGTATGTCATTTCTATTTCTACCAGACTGCATAGTTCTCATGAGATCTAAAGCCATTTTCAAATCCTCAGAGGAATAGAACAAATACAAACAATAGAATAATACCTGGTGTGGCACTGTAGGATCAGCACTGAACTGATAACCACATTGGAGGTTCAAATCCACCAGCTGTTCCTTGGAAACCCCATACTGGGTCATTATGAGTCAGAACTGACTCGACAGCACATAACAACAACAAAATTATGCTTAAGAGAACCAAATATATATAATAGCTTGTACTTCATAAAATAAGGAGCTCTGTTAGCATAGTGGTTATGAATTGGGCTGCTAACCTCAAGGTCGGCAGTTAGAAACTACCAGCTGTTCCGCGGGAAAACGATGAGGCTTTCTGCTCCCTTAAAGATTTACAGCCTCAGAAATGACGTGCAGGGTCACTACAAGTCAAAACCGACTCCACAGTACTGAACAACAACGTCATAAAATATATTTTATATAAGAATTTGTTTAGTATGGATGAAGTATAATGAGTATCAAAGACTTAAAACAATTTACATAAATAAGAACATTAATATATAATCTAATTTGCATAAATAAGAGAGATTTATGTAAAAGCTATAATATATAAGTTCAATACTTCCCTCTGGATGAGCAAAAGCCCTCCATTATTTGTTTTAGTGGTAGTAACTGATATTCAGCTGATAAAATATCAGCAAAACACCAAAGAAATTATTTGAGAATCATTCATTTAAAAGAATAGTTTTCAAACATTTTAAAACTGAGCATAATAAAAAAGAAACAGCATTTTAAAGCTATCTTATTTCTTCCAGTAAAATAGTTATCCAGAATCACAATATGTATATAAAACAGACTGAAAATGGTACAGCTCTGGTTAAAGTGGGTTGGGGGCCTAGAGTCCTCTCTTAAGTATACTACTTTCCCATAGGGTATCTCCTTGGAACTTACAGGGTACTACCAAATTTGAAAACCATTAAACTAAATAAAAACAGCACTTTGTTTGCTCCTCTAATTCCATTCTTGTCACTGTATATGTTTATGCTGCTTATATGGATTCCTGTGGGTTAATGCACTGGACTGAAAAGTCAGTTTGAACTGCAAGGTCCCCCCAGAAACCCTATACAGAGTTTATGGGTTGGGACCAATTTGATGGCACTTAATGACTATATATATATATCCTGGTGTAGTGCTGTGTGCCAGACTGCAAAGCTGTTTGAACTGCAAGGTCGGCGGTTCAAGCTCAACAGCTGCTCCTCGGAAACCCTATATAGGGTCACTAATGTGTTGGAACCAACTCGACAGCACTTCACAACAACAACATATATATATATATATATATATATATGTTTTTACCCCTAACTAATTGCAGTATCTATCTCCTAAGAATAAGGACATTCTAACATCTAACTCTTTATATATATCAATTCATATAAAGTATGTTGTTGTGAAGTGCCATCGAGTCGATTCCGACCCATAGCGACCCTGTATAATTATAACATATATCAATTCACATCTAAGAAAATTAACATTAATTTGGTAATTGCAGTTCATATTTAAAAATATTTTTAAAAATGTATACCTTTTTTTGGATCCAGGGTACAATCAAGGTTATATATTATACATGGTCATGTCTCTTGGTGGTGGTGGTGGCGGTTGTGTGCTATGGAGTCAGTTCTGACTATGCAACCCTGCATAGGGTTTATGAGGCTACAGAACTTTACAGAAGCAGAAAGCGTCATCTTTGCATGGCTTAGAAGCGTAATTTGTACTCCACTAAACTACCAGGACTTCTTCCAGGTCTCTTCTTGGTAGTGGTTGTGTGCTGTTGAGTCCGTTTCAACTCACAAGGACTCTGGAAAGGATTTCCAAGGCTGTAAATCTTTACAGGGACAGAAAGCCTCATCTTTCTCCTGTGGAGTGGCTGGTAGATTTGAACTACTGACCTTGAGGTTAGCAGCCCAACTGTAACACTCTAGCTACCAGGACTCCTTTTCATGTCTCCTAGTAGTGTCTCTTTTAGGAGTGCTGGTGTGGCACTGTGGGTTAATGCACTGGACTGCAAGGTCAATGGTTCAAGCTCACCAGCCACTCTCGTCAGAAACCCTTTTCAGGGTCACTATGAGTCGGAATTGACTAGACAGCACTGAACAACAACAAGTGTCTCTTAATCTAGAACAGCACCCCTGCCATCACCAATTTTTCTTCCATGACATTAACTTTTTTGAAGAATCCAGTCTATATTATAGAATGTTCTGCATTCTGGAATTGTTGGATTGCTTCCTTGTGTTTATGCACTGTATCTTGATTTCTATGCTGACATTTGTTTATATCTTACTCTTCTATAAGAATTCATTAAACTATGTTGCACAACACTCAACACTGTGTCACACACTGCAATTTAATCCAGAGGGATCTGTTTGTTACCTGTCATATGGTACTGGATGACACAGAAGGTGGCTGAGCACTATATCTGTATACTTAGGCCTGGCGATAAACAAGCTCACAGTATTTATGATTTGTTGGCGGATGCTTGGTTTGCTGATCATGGGTAGTCGGGCACAGATGACTCCCATAATTTCTGGCACCTGAAGAGGGAAAAAACAAAACAAAAACAACCCACTAAATCCTTAATCCTATGGAACACTGGGACAAGTGTGGCCATTTCTGAAAGGTCCTAGGGGGTGACTTTTAAAACAACATGCTTATTATTTTTTTTTTACGTTTATCAAAATAACTTAGGACATACCTGTAGGTATGCATATGTATACAAAAGAGTTGGGTAGATATACAAAGATGTAAATACTGTATCTGTAAGTGATGAGAAACTTGCTTTTTAATTTTTTATATTTAAGGTTTTTTCCATCAATGATGCTATACTGATTTTACAATAAGACAAACTAATAAAAGTATTGCAAGAACTCTAAGACTGAAAATGGCAGAGGAGCCTTTATCCACTCTCTTCCCCAGGATGTCTACCATGCTCAGGTACATTTAATAGGGGCTATTTCTCTGCTTGAACAATTCCTCCTATTCACAGACCCCTGGCTTCAGAAATACTGAGGGTCCTATCAGTCATACACTGTTAATACACAAAGTAGTTACAGAGATATTTTTTGGTATTATTAATGTGAAATGTCAGATTGTAAGACATTTAATAAGTGAGGAGTAGGGGTATTTACTTTCCATGTGCCTATTTAACCTTTAATGAGCTCTGATAGTGGTTACAAATCAGGTTACAAACCTCAAGGTCAGCAGTTTGAAACTACCAGCTGTTCCATGGGAGAAAGATGAGGCTTTCTGCTCCCATAAAGATTTAGAGCCTTAGAAACCCTGTACAGGGTCGCTACGAGTTGGAACCGACTCCGCGGCACATTACCACCACCCTACCATTTAACCTTTAAAGGGCTCTGGTAGCATAGTGATTACGAATCGTGCTGGTAACCACAAGGTCGGCAATTTGAAACTACCAGCCATTCCACGGATGAAAGATAAAGCATTCTGCTCCTGTAAAGATTTACAGCCTCAGAAACCCTCTGCAGGGTCACTATGAGTCAGAACCAATTTTATGGCACACAATCACTACCAACCACCACTTAACCTTTACCTTTATAACTTTTAATGGTTGTACTTTTGCCCATAATTCATCATTGCTATAATTTGAGAGAAGTAGGTAGCTAATTAATTCTGTGCCTTCTCTTTATGAAAGTCCTGGCTCTGGCAGCAATTGTGTCACTGGGGAAGTCCTTTCACTTCTCTAGGCCCTAATTTTTCTCATTTATAAAAGAAAAAATCTACACTAGATTTTAATGTCTTTTGTAAAATTATATGAGGTACAGTAGCAAAAAAGTCTTTGTGTATATAACCACTCACCCTTTTGAATTAATTCCTAAAACTAAGTTAATAAATTCTAAGGCATGGGATTTCTACAATACACAGTAGGAAAAGTTCAAGGCTCCTGAATATAAACTGGCAAAAAAGTTAGAAAAATTTACATTGCTTAGAATATGACTTGAAATTATTTTCCTGATCATAAAAATAGTTCTGTGGGGAAAGTAATTTAATGTTAATACAAATCTCTATAAACATAGTTTTTAATGGCTATATGTATCCCAGCATATGAATATACTATATTTTATTTAACTATACCAGGTTGCTGGATATTTATTTCTAGCTTTTCATATCATAAGTCATACTGCTGTGTATGTACAAGAACATTTCAAAAAGTTCATAGAAAATGGAATGAAAAGATAATAAATTTTTTCCATGAATTTTTGAAGCTCCCTCACATTTCTGATTATTTCTGTGAAACAGAATAGGCTCCTAGAAGTGAGCTCTATGAAGCAATTCATATGACAAATCTTTAAATTTCTACTGAGTTGCTTTTCAGTATGGATCAAGTGGTATTGAATTATGTTTATGTATATCCAATAATCATGAAAATAAAACAACTTTCACTGGTTTATTCAGATAAATACAAATTAAAACAACAGTAAGATACCATTTTTCACATATAAAACTGGAAAAACTTTCAAACATGGACACTATTAGGAGTTCAGGAAGGAGTCGAGCTAGGAGTACTCTTATACACTGCTCTGCTAGTGCGAGTGGCTGCAGTCACTCTGGAGGGAAGATGGCAATATTCAGTGGCAACCCAAGGTGTATAGCAAGGAGGGAGGGCTGGAAATAGAGTGATGCGCTATGGGTGCAAGCAATAAAGAGATTCATTGTCTGTAAAGAATTTAAAAGCAATAATAAAAGCAACCAAAACCAGTCTTGCTTTTTATAATAATCATGTATTATCAATTCAGAACAATGCCAGTAATAACAGACTTCTCCTTACCAGAGTGGAAGTCTCCCACCCTCAACCCCCTTAGTATGTCACTGTTGTTAAGCGTGGTCAACACAGTTCTGACTCACAACAACCCTATATAGGGTTTCCAAAGAGCAGCTGGTGGGTTTGAATCACCAACCATGCAGTTAGCATTCTAGTGCGTATCCTACAGCAATTTATCCTATAATCCAGCAACTCCTTTTCTCTTTATCTACTTTAGAAAAATATTCCGTTTGTGTCCCAAGAGACAAGAACAAAGATGTTTGCCACATTTTTGCAATAGCAATAAACTAGAAACAGCCAAAATATTCTACCAACAATGCTAGGGCACTGTGTAGCAGGATACTTCTCTACCTGACAGCCTCTTCTGTCCCTGTCCTTTATCCTTGCTAGAAAAACTCCAATCTTGTTTGGTGTTGTCTGAAGCACTTAGGGTGATGGTGGTGGTGGTGGTGGTGGTGATGTGCCACTCAGTCAGTTCCAATTTATAGAGACCCTGGATAGGGTTTCTGAGGCTGTGGATTTTAACAGGAACAGAAAGCCTCATCTTTTTCCAGCAGAGAGGCTGGTAGATTCACACTGCTGACGTTGCACTTAGTAGCCCAACTTGTAACTTACTATGCTACCAAGGTTCCTTGAAGCACTTCGGGAGCCAGTGGTATTTCAAGGCTCTGTCTTCATTCCTGAGGCATAATGACTTTCATCCCTTTTACCTCTTTAGTATGTCTCTCCATATTTATAAATGATACTTATCAAGCTATTTCCTGATACATTTAGATAAATTCTCTTAAAAATTTTTTGTTGGAAGAAGTACAACCAGAATGCTCCTTAGTAGCCAAGATGACCAGACTTTGTCTCTCATACTTCAGACATTATCAGTCAGGAGGAACCAGTCCTTGGAGAAGGACATCCATCATGCTTGGTAAAGTGGAGCATCAATGAAAAAGAACAAGACCCCCAACAAGATGGATTGGCACAGTGGCAGCAGCAATGAAAATGGGCTTAGGCTTAACTATAATTGGGAGGTTGGCACAGGACCAGGCAGTGTTTTGTTCTGTTGTGCATAAGGTCGTTATGAGTTGGAACCCACTCATTAGCACTTAACAACAACAACAACAAATTCAACTTTCCTCTCTAGAGTCACTTATGACTTCTTTAAAAATATGACATATTTTTATTTTTATGTACATTTTTAAATTCAACTGAATGAAAATCTAAATTGAAGTTACCATTTTCATATGTGTTAAACATCTCTCCTCAGAAAAACTTTTTTTTTTTCTGAAAAATATTCAGTGTATGTTTGTTGAATGGATAAAATGTATGTCATCAAATAGACTATGACTTTGACCACAGTTTTAGTCCTATGGGAGCTGTCTTCAGCTGAACAGGTGTTCCAAAGGAGACCTCTTCAGCTTCATGAGTGGAGAAGTCTTACTGGTAATTCAAACCCTGGAAATTGCTATTGAGCTTTTTACCGTCTCAAATCGGGACTCCGCATGTTTCACCAGTGTTATCAGCAATTCTCCTGCTGACTGCTGAGTGCAGGGATGCTTTGTATTGTCTAGACCATCCAACGTAGTCATTACAAACTGGCAGAGTTCATTTGAATCAAGAAAAACTTCGAAGACCTGAAATTATTGAGGGATAATGAACTTCTAAGAAATATGATGTGATAGAAAGAACTATGAATAAAGCATAGATTCTACGTTAACAGAGAAATGTTCAAAGATGTACAAGGCTACTTTCAGTCTTGTTGCCAAAATGAAAAACTGGAAACAATCCAAATGTTCACAGATAGGGTCTGTGTATGCCCTTTCCCAGCTCAGATTATAGAAAGATGCTTTATTATTGAGATTCTCAAAACAGTCATATTTCTATAGGAATAATACTAAAAGTAAAGACTAGTGTTATATAGCTGACAGGTTCCCAGTAATATAGTAAAATACCTTATTGGGAGTCAACATTCTACTAAAAGACTTTGCTAATCAGGCTTTCATCACACTTAGCATTATATAAGGTCTTTTATAATCACAGGTACAATTTAGTGGGCACTTAACTATGTGAAGAATACTAAGCAAAGGATTTTACCTACAGTATATCATTTAACCCTCACAACAATTGAGTTTCCCCAAGTTTTATACATTTCCATTGTACAGACAAGGAAACTAAAGCACACAGAGATGAAATTACTTGATAACTTAGACCCTATGTTAGTAAAATCTGTAGGTTTTCTTTTCCCCCTCTGACTCCTAACATAGCCTGACACCTATTGTTACTGTGATTAAGTATCCTTGAGTCAATTCCAACTCATAACAACCCTGAACAGGGTTTCCGAGGAGCAGCTGGTGAGTTTGAACAGCCAACCTTGCAGTTTAAACTGACCTTGAGATCGAGTGCTTATCCTATGGTGCCACACCTGGACCCTGGCATCCACTAGATGCTTAATAAATATTTGTTGGATAACAAATATATCAGTTTTAAAGTATATGGCTTAGAGGATCAACTAGATCCTCTTGAAGCTCCTTCTGTGACAAGGGTTCAAATTTGCAAGAGACTGATTAGGGTTAGGAGAGCAATCAGTAGATGAGCTAGTCCAGAGAAACCCAACAGTGATGTTGTCCTCATTGGCAGGTTGACCATTAAGCTAATGAGCCTCATTTAAGAATCACAAACATGGTGCATCCTCTCCAAATTCTAAACTGTTTAGAAAGCAAATTCTCTAAGTAATTTTGTATGTTTACTTTTATAAGAAAGTACCAGAACTTTTTCCAAAGGGATTTCACATTACCTTGAATAAGTGTATGAGAATTTGGGTTGTACCTCCATCTTTGCCAACATTTGCAGCTGTCACTCTTATAGTTTTAGTTATTCTACATACCTGGGCAATTTTGAAGGGACAACTGTAGAACTGCTCAATACTGTAGAGCGCCAAAAGTTCTCGGCATTTTTTCAATGCTTTCCGCAAGCTTTGGTGATTTTTCTTGTCATGAGTGATATCTGAAAAGAAAACATGAAATATTAATTCTTTCTGGCTTCTTTCTTCCTCCTTGGTTTTGCAAATTTGGTTGCTTTCCAGGCTGAAGTAGATACCAATGTCTCTTTCTTCTTGTCTTTTGCACTTGAGTGACACTGTCTGGAGGAGGCCATGTGTTAATCAGAAGGCTGACTTGTTCTCTTCTGCTGCAGACTAATATATAAAAAGAGCTCAAAGAAAAAAGAATGATGTTTTTTTTTTTGAGAAAAGACCTTTTGAGTAAGATGGAAGTATAACCAAGACATGCTATCCATTTTTCATATCAGAGAGGTCTTCTGAGGGGTCTCACAAAGCTCAGGTCCCTACATAGCACTGCCCAATTTTGTACTGTATCTGATAATCCCAATATCAGAACTCTTTATGTGTCTGCTAACACTTATATTGCCTAATTTTTCTTCAGATTATCTTCAGAGAGGCCTTGTTTTGTTGAGTTCTACTACTATATGATTCTCATTCTTGGCCTCTATTTTTCCTTCATAGCAGTTAGCTTTGTTTACAAGAACATAGCTTTTTGTTGATTCTTTGATTTTTTGACTCCCTACCAGGCCATCTATAATGTAAGGATTAGGACCACTTGTGCATGGTTAATGTTGGGTCCTGAGTAAGTACTCAATAATTAATACCTATGAGATAAATAAATTAATAAAGGCTCAAATGATGGCAAGAACCTTTTCTACTTTGTATCAAATATAATCACTCAAGTTTGTTCACAGGGCTGCATGTTTAGCTCCTCTGACAATATGGCCTTGCAGATGGTTGGCACTGATGGGTCTGATTCAATGTCATGATTCTAATTATTGAGCCAGTGTTGCTTCATCATTTACCCTTTCTCTTTATAAACTATTCTTGTTCTTGTTGTTAGGTACCATCAAATCAGTTCTGACTCATAGTGACCCTATGCACAACAGAATGAAATTCTGCCTGGTTCTGTGCCATCCTCACAATTCTTGTTTCATTTTTTAAGCCACTGTGTCAATTTATCTTGTTGAGGGTCTTCCTCTTTTTTGCTGATGCTCCTTTTTACCCAGTATGTAAGCATGGACGTGAGAGCCAAAGAGGGCAGGTGCTTGTGTTGTGCTAGAGAACTTGCTCAGGGCCTCCCTGCCCACAGCAGTGCCTCACATTTTAGCCTCATGGTGATATGCAGCAGGTAGTGTGTGCCCTTGGCAGCCTCCTCAGCCACTTCTTTCAGTGGGTCCCCACACAGCAGCGCCATGACAGCCACCAGATGTCCAAGTCTTTGGAACTGAAGTGGAAGCTAATTAGAAAGCACAAAGAAATGTGCCATTAGAATCCAAGTATATATAGAATTTAATTAGTTACTAAGTTATCCCACTTCTACTTCTAGCTCAAAAGAAGGGTAAGGGTCATATTTGGCTCATGGATCTCTTTAGGGTTAACATTTAACATGTAGAGATGCAATATAGTCAGCAGATGGTATTACTATTGCTAAGTGTTGTCAATTTGATTTTGACTCATAGCAACCCCACATGATAGAGTAGAATTTCCCTAAAGCACTTGTTAAGTGCCAAGTTGGTTTTGACTCAGCAACCTGGGGCAAGGAAAAGCTGGTGGGTTTGAACCACCAACCTTGCTATTAATAGTCCAGTGCTTATCCTATAGTGTCACATCAAGACTTCAAAGGTTGGGCAGGACTATGTAAATATGGTGTGTATGGTACACCAAAGGGACTGGATAGCTTGCTAATAATGCAAAAAAGATGCATGACACCCTTGTGAGGATGTTATTGTTAACTGCCATTTAGTTGGTTCCGACTCATAGTGATCTGGTATAGAGTTTCCAAAGAGTGGTTGGCAAATATGAACTGCCACACTGGAGTCATATGGAACCCTAATGAGAGGACTGGTCAGTTTTGCCATCTCACTAGGCTTAAAATGAGCATTCTCGGGAGTGGAAAGAGGACACTTCAATAACCACAAAGAAGAAAAGCTGGAGGAGATGTGTGTCCTTTAGGTCCAGGGTCCCTGTGTTGAGCATCTCCTGAGGCCCAGATGCAGAGACGAAGAGCTGTAACATGGAAGACAATGAGAAGCAGCAGCACAGCAGTAGCAAGAGTGATAGCAGTATCAGATGGCAAGAGCCAGGAGACAGGCGCAAGATGGTCCAGTGAACTTCCTGAGCAAGAGAGTCACAGTGGGCATATTTGGCCACAGAGTGAAAGAGCTGAGGGCTTTCAGTCCAAAGCCTATTGTAACACTTGCCTGGGCAAGGCAGAGTCTGGGCTGAGGGCCAGAAACAGGACTGCCTGAAGGAACAGTTGAGAAGATGATGTCCCAAATGAAGAACTGTATCCTAAATTGTTCCTGACCCTGAATTGTAAACTGTTGTTATTTTCCTAATAAACCTTAAAACTGTGAGCATGGTCTGTGAGTTGTGTATGGTTACTGCAAGGAATTATGGAAGCCAGCCGAGAAGTAGAGAATACTGAAGGAGGGATGGCTGGTGTCAAAATTTGTAAAATTTTGGAGAGAAGAGGTATGTCTGACTTCTACCTCACAGGAATCAGTCCTGGGATTTTGAAAATGATTCTCCTACCTTATTGTGAAGTAAGATGAGGCGATATGCCCCAGCCACACCATTTTTACATCAAGTATCTGGGCAACTGACAAAAAGATAGGAAAAAGTGCTATTCTGCTATGTGTAAAAGCTGTATGCAAAGTTAAGTTTCAACATATAATGCTGTTTAAAAAACTTAGTGATATCCTCCCTTAATTTGGAGTAATAACATAAGGTGACTAAAAAAAAACAACATACTAGAAAAAGAAATACAAGTTAAAATAAATGCTGAAGAAAATAAGACAATTTTTTTTTTTTTAATGACGATAAGAATTTGGTTAGTGTGCAGAATGCATAGTCATCATTTGCACAAGGTAAGGCCACCCAGCTAGGCTCTGACCCTTTGTCATGGTTAATGTCAGTTTGTTGCACTGTGGTGGCTTGTGAGTTGCTGTGATTCTGGAAGTTATGCCACGGGTATTTTAAATACCAGCAGGATCATCCACAGTGGACAGGTTTCAGATGAGCTTCCAGATGAAGACAGACTAAGAAGAAGGAGAGACAAGCTATTTCTGAATATTTAGTCACTGAAAACCTTATGAACAGCAGAGAAATACTATCAGGTATAGTGCCAGAAAATGAGTCCCTTAGGTTGGAAGAACTCAAAATGCGACTGGGGAAGAGCTGCCTCCTCAAAGTAGAGTTGACCGTGGTGACGTGAAAGGAGTAAAGCCCTCGGGACATTCATTTGCTGATGGGTCACAACTCAAAATGAAGAGAAATAGTTGTGATCATCCATGAAAAATTGGAACATGGCATGTACAAAGTATTAATCTAAGAAAATTGGAAATTGTAAAAATAAAATGGAACTCATAAACATTGATATCTTAGGCACTGGTGGTGGTGGTTATGTGCCATAGAGTCTATTCCAAATCATAGTGACTCTGTACTATGTTTCCGAGGCTGCAACTCTTTACAGGAGCAGAGATCCTCATCTTTCTCCCGAGGAAGAGCTGGTAGTTTTGAACTACTGACCTTGAGGTTTGCAGCCTGATTCGTAACCATTACACTACCAGAGTTCCTCATCTTAGGCATTAGTGAACTGAAATGAACTGCTATTGACCATTTAGAATCTGACAACTACATGGTTTACTGTGCCAGGAATGACAATTGAAGAGGAATGGTGTTGCATTCATTGTCAAAAAGAATATATAAGATCTGTCATGAGGTACAACACTGTCTTTGATAGGATAATATCCATGCAACTACAGGTAAGATCAGTTAATACCACTATTAGTCAAATTTACACACCAACCACTAAAACAAATGAGGATGAAATAGAAGAATTCTGCCACCTTCTTCAATCTGAAATTGATCAAATATGCAATCAAGATATATTGATAATCACTGGTGATTGGAATGCAAAGGTTGGAAATAAAGAGAAAGGTTTAGTAGTTAGAAAATATGGTTTTGGTGATAGAAATGATGCTGGAGATCACATAATAGAATTCTGCAAAACCAATGATTTGTTCATTTCAAATACCTTTTTTAGACAGCATAAGAGACCTCACCAGATGTAATACACAGAAATCAAATTGATTACATCTGCAGAAAGAGATGGTGGAAAAGCTCCGTATCATCAGCCAAAAAACAAGGCCAGGGCAGATTGTGGAACAGACCATCAACTGCTCATATGGAAATTCAGACTGAAGCTAAAGAAAATGAGAACAAGTCAATGTATGAAAGCTAAAATACGACCTTGAATATATCCCACCTGAATTTAGAGACCATCTGAAGAACAGATTTGATGCATTAGACACTACAGACCAAAGAACAGAAGAGTCGTGGAATGACATTAAGAACATCATATATGAAGAAAGCAAAAAGTCATTAAGAAGACAAGAAAGAAGGAAAAGATCAAAATGGATGTCAGAAGAGACTCTGAAACTTGCTCTCCAGCATAGAGATGCTAAAGCAAATGGAAGAAATGGCACAAGAGCTGAAAAGAAAATTTCAAAGGTCAGTCTAGAAGACAAAGTCAAACATTACAACAAAATGTGCAAAGACCTGGAGTTAGAAAACCAAAAAAGAAGAACACGTTCTGCACTTCTCAAGCAGAGGGAACTGAAGAGAAAAATTCAAGCCTCGACTTTCATTATTGAAGGTTCTCTGGGCAAATTATTGAATGATGTAGAAAGCATCCAATGAAGAAGGAAGGAATACTGAGTCACTGTACCAAAAGGAAATGGTTCATGTTCAACGGGTTCAAGAGGTAGCATATGATCAAGAGCTAATGATACTGAAGGAAGAAGTCCAAGGTGCACTGAAGGAATTGGCAAAGAACAGGCACTGGAAACTGATTGAATACAAATTGAAATCTTTCAAGAAAGTGAGACTGCACTGGAGGCACTCATCTATGCCAAGAAATTTGGAAGACAATTATCTGGTCAATTGATTGGAAGAGATCCACAGTTGTGCCCATTCCAAAGAGAGGTGACCCAATGGAATGTGGAAATCATCAGACAATATCTTTGATATCCCATGTGAGTAAAGTTTAATAAAGGTGATACAGAAATGGCTGCAAGCATACATTGACAGAGAACTTCCAGAGGTTCAAGCCAGATTCAGAAGGTTTTGGAACGAGGGATATCATTGCTGATGTCCGATGGATCTTGGCTGAAAGCAGAAAATACCAGAAAGATATATCTGTGCTTTACTGACTTCACAAAGGCTTTCGATTGTGTGGATCATGACAAGCTATGGACAACATTGTGAAGTATGAGTATTCTGGAACACTTAATTGTGCTCAT